TTTCCTGACATTTGAATATGATATGCCTGTGCATATTTTGGGGGGGCATTTATCCTGCTTGGTATTCTCTGAGCTTCCTGGACCTGTGGTTTTGGGTCAGACATCAATTTGGGGAAATTCTCACTCATTAGTTCTTCAAATGTTGCTTCTGTTCCCTTTTTTCTTCTCTTCCTTCTAGTATTTCTACCACGCATATGTTACACATTTTCACACTGTCCCACAGTTCTTGGATATTCTGTTTTCTTTTTTCCATCTTCGTTCTCTTTGATTTTTAGTTTTGAAATTTTTTATTGCATATCCTCTAGCTCAGAGTCTTTCTTCAGTCATGTCCCATCAAAGGCATTCTTCACTTATGGCATTTTTTTAAATCTTCACTTATCTTACAGCATTTTTGATCTCCAGCATTTCTTGTCGATTCTTAGAATTTCTATATCTCTGCTTATATTATTCATCTGTACTTGTGCGTTGTCTCCTTCTGTTAAAAACCGTAGCCTATTAATCATACTCTTAAAAAATATTTATAGCCTGGTAATTCCAACATTTTTGTGATATCTGGCTCTTGATGTGATGCCTGTTTTATTTCTTTAATCTGTGATTTTGCCATGTAGTATGCCTTACAATTCTCAAAGGTGGATGTGGTGTGCTGGGCAGGAGGAAGTGGCAGAAGTGGTGGTCAGGTGTGCAGGGGTAAAAGGGTTCGGCGGTCCTATGATCAGGTTTCAGCCTTCCAGGGAAGCCTGTGTTCCTGACCGAGAACTTCACCAGTGTGTCCCAGTGTTATTAGTTGTTTTACTTTCAGATTCTCTGGTTGGTTGATTTTAGTTTTCATTTTAGGTAGAACAGGATGGCTAGAGGGGGCTGGAATTGGGTTCTTCTCTTCCCCAACGTGTGGAAGGCCAGACCCAGATGAGCAAGGCTCTGGTGAAACCCCAGTGGGTTCGGCTCAGATTCAGTCTTTGCTCCTGAGGGCAGTCCCTGATAAGAGGAATATAATGCTCAAGTGCATTTCAGAATGGTTCCTTGTCCCTTCCCCCTTGTGAAAGCAGGGGAGGATTTTTCTCTGATATTCACTGTGAGTACTTTGTAGAACTCCAGGAGGTAAGAGTGATTTTGTGAGTTTTACCTCAATGACTGGATATCTCCAGAGTTTTTAACCCTCAGACATGCACACACTGAGCCCCCAGCAGTTCGTCAGATGCAGCTCAGGTGTTCCCAGCCCAGCATTGGTTTCTGTGAAGGTTTCTGCCCAGCTGGGTTGCTATTCTCATACCCTCCTGTCTCTCTCTGTACTTTGGGGTACAGTGGTTTGCCATGTGACCTCACGTCTCTGATGAATCAAAGAAGCATTGTTGCTTTTTCAATGTGTTCAGCTTTTTACATATTGTTAGTGTGACTTCTTAACATGGTGAATTCTAATCTACTTATATGCCAGACTGGAAACTAGAAGTCAATATTAAAAATCAAGGTTATACTTTCCACCAAGAAAAAATATTTAAGAGAGAAGTATTTAAAAATATCTTGGGGAGTTTTTAACAATGGAAATATTCAAAATTCTACAATAATGTCATGTAATATAGGATAATTATAAAATAGAAATGCAGAGGTCAAAGAAGACTATAACATTGGGGATGTTCCTGGGTGAGAAGAGCCAGTGTGATCAAAATTTGAATTCCCCCCAATTAATTTGATCAGAACTGTGGTGCATCAGTATAATTGTAATAAATGCCTCCAAGGGTGATAAAGGTTTCTAAAGTTAATGTGAGAGAATTATTGGAGCTTTGAACTGCTGTCTTTTATGATATATTATGAAGTTACTTAATTAAAATTTAGATACTATTTTAAAAAATAAATAGAACAGTGGAAAAAAAAGATATCCCAATCAATAGAAAGTCCAAGTATGTAAGAAGTTTTATATCTATGACATTTCCAATCTATAGGGACAATCTATTTTATTCATTAACGATTTTGAGACATTTGGTTAGCTCTTTAAAAAAAAATTCTGTATCTGGTACAAGTACCAAAATAAATTCCACATGTATTAAAGATTTAAATGTCATATTCTCTACTGCACACATATATGGATATTTATACTGTTGGTTGATATGCCCTAAGCAGATTAGCAAAGGAGGAAATCATAAAGGGAAAAATACAATAGATACTACCACATGGAAAAGCTATTAAAAAAAGGGCAGGACCAAAATGTGCTATAATTAGTATGAAAAGATAAATGGAAAAATGGGGAAAACATTACCTACTGATAAAGCCATTGATCTCATCAAACCAAAGAATTCTTACAAATCTTGTAAATAAGATCTAGGTGGAGACTCCGCATGAGGGCCTGATGCCCGCAAGGAATGACAGGGGGAGACACAGACAGGCAATGCATTTAGAAGAAAGCCAACCTCTTGATAAAACAAAATACAAAGTAAGAACATACTTTTTTCTCTTTAAATTTGATTGTGATTAATAAGAATTAAAAGGTTACTGTAGAAAACAACTAAACAAAATACTTATGGATCAATGCTCATAATATAAATGTTTTTTTCTGATGTCCCAACTTATTATTATCTTTCTAATATTTCTAAGTTTAACTATAAGTAATTATATAATCAGGATTCATTTTAATCGCAGAATTTATCCTAAGGAAATAATCAAGAGATGGGTACAAATCTGTATGAACAGATGTTTATTCAAATGTCATTATAATGTAAAAAATTAAGAACACAATATCCAACAATAGAAACACCATCCATTTGTTAAATATCATGTCCATTATAAAACATGTTTATCTAGGGGTAAATGTGCTACAAAGCATTCTGTCCCATACTCTGTAAGCCTAGTAATCATGTAAAACCTGCCAACTTAGCAAACATCAGCAAATTGCTGAGCTCATAGCCATTATTTTTGCTGTTGGAGTTATAGGAGAATGTGGTTTTTTACTTTGTATTTTTCCAAATGTGGATTTGTTGCAAAATCAGAACACAAGTGACTTTTTATACACATTTAACTGGTGATTATTGATGAAAGTCTTTTTTTCCTTTATAAAGAAAATTCACTGATGATTAGGTAAATTTTATTTGTAGTTTTCACCCTTTTCTCACATTGTGGTGTATTCAGAGTCCATACTGCTTACTTAGTAAGGCAGTAATCTAACTGTACCTTTAAATGTCTTTATGTTTCTGAGAGCGCACACAGGTGTTCTGACTTCTCTAAAATCACCTGTTGGTGAAGTTCGGTGCTGAGCCATCGAAGATGTATCTGATGGGGCACTTAGTCCTTTGTGGGGTCTCTTCCTCTCCTCTCTCTGCAGAGCCATTTTTATGCTTCGGCTCTTTGATTTTCTCTGACTTGAAGTATGTCCCTTATGACTGCCCTGCTGGTGACAGATGTGTCCTGAGCAGTGCTGATGTGGGGATGGCAGACAGGTCAATGTTCTGGTGAGCCTTTCACAGGCTGGGCAGCCTGCAACAGCAGTAGTTGTAGAGATGCTGTGCTGAAAGGGAGCTGAGGTGGGTGGGTTTAGAGTCCATTCTGTTTTCAGGGACCATTACCACTGCTGAGTCTCCATTTCTTCCCTTATTCTTACAGCAAATAGTTGCTAAACCCTGACTATCAGAAGCACTTTTGAGACTGTGGAGGACAGACAGATAAGATCCTTGAAGTCTTGGCAGCTACTCATCTGAAACTAGAAATTCAACACCTAAGAGAGATGAGAATTTCACATGACATTGTGCCTGGTACCTAGACTGTTCTCAGTGTATGTTAATTCATTGTTTCCCCTTTCTTCGTTCCCTGACACTGGACCAAGGCTAGCATGAACTAATCTGTGTTTAAAGCTCTCCAGAGAGCAGCCTTCCCCTTTAGCTCTGTGCCTTACCTCTGTGGCCTCATGTACAAGAGCCCTTGAAGGATGCTCTCCACAAAGGCTGGCCGACCAGGAGACGCGAAGAAAACAGATCACCCCTCACATTCTAGTGGTCTCACTGAGAATGGGTTGCACTGGCAGCTGAGGAGCTCAGGGTCCATGAAACAGGCTCTTTCTGAAGTGTGTGGTTGCCTGCTTTAATTCATTTGGTATCTGGATCATCTCTCTTGTGCTGGTGTCACGTTTACCTCAAACAGGACAGTATAGACTCTTCTCTTCTCAGCTTAGCATTTCTTCTAAACACCTCCTATCTGAGGCAACCCAACAAGGAGAAACTGGAGAAATCATAGGACTTGTGCAAACAAGTCCAGACATGTGATGTGCTCAAAGACATGGTTAGTGACAGAGTCTGCATCCTGCTCAGAATGAACTTTTATTGTACCTTGCTATGGATGTTTCTGTGGAACTGAAGATTGTTCGCTGAGGCAAACACATTCCAGATTCAGACCCAGCAGTGGGCCATTGTCCCCATCACATGGACAACTGGAAAGCACAGGACTCAACACTATGAGGTTTGTGTGTGAAGTTGGGTGCGCCTAGGTTTTGATGTGTTCTGAATCAGCAGCCCTTTTCCTGCCCACCTGTTGTATCCAACTTTCTCGAAATTGGTTTGTTGCTGTCTCCTGCATAGGCTTGTTATCAGCCTATCAGTATTGGGAATGAAAGACAACAAAGCAGTAGAATGATCAAAGAGAGAGAATGAGAGCATGAAGAGAGCGCAAGCGCAGTTTGTATTTGGAGGGCTCTGTACAGAGGCGAATAGGCTGCAGAGGTGTGTGGCAGTAATCTGCACATCAGTCCCCCACACAGGCTTCCCTAACTCTAGACCAGGCCCATGTGCTGGAATCCCTGAGGAACCACTGGCACCGGTGTTCTTCTCACGCCCACTCGATCTCTAGAGCCATGGCTGGGAAACATGGAAATGTCCATGGCAGAATATGTACATTGAGGGTTTTATTTAGAAAGAGATTGAAAATGATTAAGGTTCTTTCTTTTCTGATGTTGAGGCCCATGCATTAGCCATCTCTGCTGTCTTTACAATGTATTTTGTGAAGTTGTCTTTTACCTTCCACAGGACCAGCTCTCAGCGGACATGTACAGTTTTGTGGCCAAAGAAATTGACTATGCAAACTACTTTCAAACAGTAAGTGTCCACGAAGATGAAACAACTCAAAGCCTGTTTGCGAGATTGTGGGGCAGGCAGCAAGGAGTGTGCACACGACTTGAGCATGCCACAGGGAAGACTGCGTCTGAGCTGAGAAAAACACAAATTAAAAATAGGGAAGTGATGGGATGACAAGGAAGGAAGAAGACAGAAGAAAAGGAGGAGAAATCCTGAAAAGCATTGTTGACAATGCTTTGATAAGTATGTAGAAAAGCTGTCCACTATTAGCAATCTTCCAACACTTTCACCAAAGGACCAGAAATTTGGGGGAGTTTCTTCTACCCTAAAAAAGGAGTGATATGCATTCCTTCCAACTCAGAAAGTTTATTTGAAACTAGTGGTATATCTCTAAGTATATTTCATTGGCTTTATTTGTGAAGGTAATATCCAATTTTAGAGTTGTTAAAACTAATGAAATTATTAGCATTCCAAACATTATTAGGCTGCCTAATTGTTTATTTCAATATTCTAATTTTTAAAAATTATTTTTGTTTTACTTGGAGATGACAGTATCTACCCTCCATGCCAAGCCTTTAAACAGTGACTCATCCCCCTTCCCTCATCCATGGCCAATCTGTGAGGGTGGAGGAGGGGTTCAGAAAATGAACGAAGTAACCGTTGTTCTCGGATTTCACCTGCCCTTGTCAGCATTTCAGCAGATTTTGTGGTAGTGGGATGGGAAAAATAGAACATCTTGAAGGAATCTGTTCTTTGAGCTGTATTATTTTAACTAAAGCAGTTTTGCCTCCCAAGGTACTTGAAGTACTTGAAGAGAATTGTAGATCTCGTTGCAAGTTTTTTGACCAGTTATATCTTAAACCCACTTTGCAGAAAACAAGATGTGTGTGTGTGTGTGTGTGTGTGTGTGTGTGTGTGTGTGTGTACGTACGTACATGGATGTACAGGCTAATAGCATTTGGCTCCTGTAGGCATACAGATTTATAAATGTGTTTTTCATATATATTTTCCTATTGATTCACTTCTCTTTTACTTTTTGCTTTGATAGGGTGCTTAGCAAGGTAGAATGGCAGCAAAGGCAAGCTCTCTAAGTCAGGCCCCAGCTGTGGGGCAGCCCCTGTAACCCCTCATGGTTCTCCTGCCTCCCAAACCCCCATCTGTGACTGTTGCTGCAGAGACTACAGAGGAAGCAGGGCAACTGCTCTGTGCAGAGCACTCCACGTGGCACAGCAGCCTGTGTCTCCAACCCTTGACAAGAACTAATGCTTGCTCTTGTGTTTTCTCAGCTAATAGAAGTACAAGCTGAATACCACAGGAAGTCACTGACACTCTTGCAGGCGGTGCTGCCTCAGATAAAAGCACAACAAGGTAACCCTCCTTGTTACCCTCCTTGGTTGGGGAAGGTTGGAGACAGTCTGCCTGCCTTCCCAGATCCCACCAGTGCCCCATGTTTTTATCCATCCTTATGTGTCCCCAGGGGTCACATTTGCATGAGCAGCTTGGACTTCACCAGCTGGTGCCTTGATTCAGCTGCAGTGAAGCAGAGCCCACTCAAACATACCGTTCCCTAAGGGGATGAGTCAGGGGAGGTGTGTGCGCACAGATGTGTATGCAAGTGTGTGTTACATGAAATCCAGCAGCTCTTGACACAGCTGGTTAGCCTCTGCCCTACACAGACCTCTTAGTCCTCCCCAAAACATGGGAATGGAGACTCCACTGGGCTTCCATGTATTTCGTAGTCTTAGAATAATCTGTATGACATGACATACTCCAGCAAGGGTTATGAGTGACCTTCATAATCCTTTCCATTGACTCCCTCCTTGCTCCTCCCGATCAGAGGCCTGGGTGGAGAAGCCTTCCTTTGGGAAGCCCCTGGAGGAACACCTCACCATCAGCGGCCGGGAGATCGCCTTCCCTATCGAGGCATGTGTGACCATGCTGCTGGAGTGCGGGATGCAGGAGGAGGTGGGTCTGGGGTGTATGACATGATGCTTCTGGAGTGTGGGATGCCAGGGGAGGTGGGTCTGAGGCATGTGTGACAATGCCGCTGGAGTGCAGGATGCAGGAGGAGGTGGGTGTGGGCATAGCCAGGCCCTACCCCAAGCAGGACCCCAAGCAGGTGTCCTCTTCCATAAGGCACAGACCACAAGATCTTCACCCCTGTTGCCATCCCCACTGTGGCTCCTACAAATCTAACCATGGTAAGATGGGGTACAACCTCCTCTCCTACAGAACACAAATGGGTCCTGCTCTCTCCTATGAACCTTCACTTTATGGGGAGACTGGTACTGCTGGCCATGGCAAACTTAGAGCCATACTCTGGCCATTCTTTCTTCATGTTTAAAATTATTTTGGCAATCTACTACTGCTTCCTCTTCCTTTTCCTCCTCCTCCTTCAAAGGTTCTCTGATTTTAAAAATAGAACTTTTAGAATACATACACTGCTATGTTCATTGCAGCATTATTTACAATAGTCAAGATTTGGAAGCAGCCTAAGTGCCCATCAGTAGATGAGTGGATAAAACAGCTGTGGTACATTTGCACAATGGAATACTACTCAGCCATAAAAAGAAGGAAATCTTACCCTTTGCAACAGCATGAATGGATTTGGAGGGCATTATACTAAGTGAAATAAGCCAGTCAGACAGAGACAAGTACCATGTGATTGCACTCCTGTGGAACCAAAAGAACTAAACAAACAGATTCGTAGATACAAAGAACAGACTGAGAGCTCTCAGAGGGAATGGGGGTGGGGAGCTGGGTGAAAAATGTGAGAGATTAAGCAAAACAGCAAAGCAAAATCAGAGACAACAGTGTGGTGATTATTAGAGGGAAGGGAGTTTGTGGAGGTGGAGGAGGGTAAAGAGGAATAAAAGGTGATGGAAGGAGGGACTTGGGGTGGTTAACACAATACAATATACAGATGATGTCTTAATAGAATTGTACCCCTGAAATGTATATAATTTGTTTACCAATGTCACTTCAATAAATTCATAAAAATAAAAAATGGACCTTTTAACCTTTTTGATCATAACTCTTTTATAGAGATCCTGAAAATATGATTGATAGCAACATTAGAAAATAGTTCTTAAGGGCCACATGTATAAAAGGTCTACGAGAAATGAGTGGCGGTTGTTTTTATTACTGTGTAAATCTTTCCTGAGAGCTAGAACTTTCTTTGGTTTCTTTTATTGGCTGTTTTAAAATCGTCACACCATCTTCCTTTGATCTGATCAGCGGATCAATACTTAAGTAGGGCCTGCTATGCATTTATTACTCAGCAAAGTATAAAAGAGTCAAATGGGGGCTTATAAGCTTATTGGAGAAGGTGAGCATCCCATTTATTAATTTGGATTAATTAGTTAATTAATCTGATTAATCCAAAATAGTCTTTAAGTCAGCACCTGGTCACCTGGGGCAAACTGGGAGGACTTCCGAAGAGAAGGAAGCCAGTTCAGGTTCTGATGCATGTTGGCTGCGTGCCTGTGTCAGGCCTGCTCTGGATAGGGCTGTTCCAACAGATGAGAATAGGTCTTTCTTACCATATTTTGGTGCCAGGCATTTTCACCAAATTGCGCTATCAATCACAAGAGGGAAAGAAGTTTACAATGCCTGAGGGATGATTTGATAGAGGGAGGTAAACTGGGCCTTTTCTTTCCCCATCATTTTTTATGAATTATGGAAAAAGACACTTAAAGATAAGATAACCAGCTTCATCACCTAGCATATGGTTGGTCCTGTTTCATCCACACCTCCATTTCCTGCCCCACCTCTGCTTCGGAGATTTTGAAGCCAATCCTAGACATTATATCATTGCATCTATAATACTTCAGCAAGTTTCTCAAGAAAATAAGGAATGTTTTTAAATAGAACTAGAACATTATTACATACAAGTAAAACGAATTGATCAATATCTTAGAATTTCTACTCAGTGCAAACTAGTTTTTGAAGAACAGGCATCAGATGGTGTGGCATCTCCCATCTTGTCTCCGGATTCTTCCGGCCCTTCCGCCACCCGCCAGACCTTCTTGCTCCCCCTTGCACTTTTCCCTACTTTGCATCTGTAGTAACCAATATACTCAGGTTTCCCCTAGCCTACAAAGAGGTCTTCTTTCAGCTAAACCACAGCCTCATACCCCTTCCCCGACCAGTTGGATTTTGGTTTTTGTACTACCTAAGTCTTCAGGTAACTCACAGCGTTTCTGGTTGTGCACCCGTAGCGCTGCTCACTCCTCTGTCTCTGGCACAGCCACTTCTGCTCCCATCACCAGACTAAACCTGCCCTGTCAACCCCGGGGACCCCCAGGTTGCCCAGTCCCAGGCCTCAGCCTGGCTTCCTTCGCCACTTGGCCGCCTGCGATGTTACTGCTGGAGCCACCCTTGAAATCAGCACCCACTGTGCTCCCTCGTGCCCCTTGCCCTTATCGGTGACATTGCGATGACCCATTCAGCACTGCCCAGCCCTGCCCTCTACTGTCTCTAATCTTTTCCTGAGTGTCACCATCCTCTCCTGGACCTTTGCTTCAACCTCAGTGAGCATCCTGGGTCCTCACCCCTTCCCTGGGCCCCACTCCCATGTTCACTGCCATTTCTTCAGCATTTCCATGGGGTTTTTCTCTAACACCCCCAAACCTGGACCCACTGGCCATGTGAACAGTCACAATCTCCTTCTGGTTTTTCTGTGTCTCTCACTGGAGCAGTCTTCTCAGCTACATAGTCAGAACTCTGAAGCTCTTGTGTGACGACTCTGCTCCCTTCTCTTTGGTGTTGTCCATCACCAAACACCATTGCCCTTCCTTCACAGCTATGGCATGTGTTTGTGAGGATCCAGCCCTCTCCTTCGTGTGCACCGTCACTTGCTCTCTTCGTCATAGCAGCTGTGCTTGCACACTAATCCAAACATGGTTCGGGAGCTTCCTCACATATTTGCCAGAGAGCTTTGGAATCTCTTTGTCTGAGACACCCCGTGCTGAGAAGGGAGTTACAATCTTAGCAGGCCCAGAACTCAGACCAGGAACATCTTCTTCTAGAGGAACTTGAGAAGCTGAATAGCTGTCAATGGTTAAAGGAACAAGGGGTGTTCTGCCAGCCTGTTTCTCGGCCTGTGGGTCGCATCACCGAATGCAAGGAGCTAAGGAGGTGAAACAGAAACCAGTAGATCTTCCACTCATGAAAACTTCCCTGTCTCAGTTGGGCATTCCTCTCCAGCTCTAACCTGCATCTGTCACCTCTGCACACACCCCTGTCTGCTGCTTCTCTGTCTCTTCACAGTTTACTTTCATTCTACAAGGTGGAGCAGTTCACTTGGAAAAGACAACAGTGTCTCAAGAGGGACTCTAAGAACAGAACAGGGATGGGCCGAAGGAGGCATCCCTCACAAGCAAGCACCCTGTCTGCCCTACCCTGAGGCTCATAGGGGGCTTATGGCCCGGTCCCTCCCAACACACAAACACACACCCTGGAGATCTTTTCACATGGAAGTTCCTGGACTCCCCCTCCAAATTTAACCAGGTCTCAGTCAAAGTCTCCTCTAAAATGTACTTTAAATATACAAGAACAAGAAATCTGAGTGTCCGGGTTTTACTTTTTTTACTCCTACTGAGATGACAGAACAATGAGTCACCCCTACGAAGCCCTGGGGACACAACAGTGGGGGAGGCCCAGTCCCTGCTCTACCAGAGCATTTGGCAAACAAACAGCTACACTGTTGAAAAGTGAGGCTGGGAAGGTGCCTCTGGGAGAATTCGGAGGAAAGGAGTGGACAGGTTTCCTGACTTTGTTGGGTTTGCTTTTGTGCCTTTGAGTTACAGGGCTGTCCACTGACCCTCTGTCCTCTTGGTAGGGACTCTTCCGAGTAGCCCCATCCGCCTCCAAGCTGAAGAAGCTGAAAGCTGCCCTCGACTGCTGTGTGGTGGATGTGCAGGAATACTCTGCAGACCCCCATGCAATTGCAGGTGGGTACCCCCAACCTCTTAGCACGGTGTCCCTTGTACCATAGAGGCTCCCAGGGAAGGGGCAAGCATGGAGGATGTGTGGCTACATGTCAGACACTTGAGCCCGTGGCTTCCTGACAGGTTTTAGATGTGTCCACTCAGGGCCCAGTGTTGGGCCTGGTTGCTATGACTCCTTGGGAGAAGGTCTCCCCAATGTGCCAATGGAAGATGAGATAAAGGTGGGAAATAAGGCTAGAGGCCAGTGTGGTTGTCCGCCCAGGTCCCGTTGCCATGCCAGAGCCTCGGATCCATTCACATGGGAGCCACCATTTGATTTTGTTGTCTGGGTCAGTGGGCCCATCCTAGACGTGGCCCACAGGGTGATGCTGGCTCGGGAAACCTGTCTCTGCCATGTCAAAGTGGCTCACGGCTGATATTGTGTTCGTGCCCAGGAGCTTTGAAATCTTACCTCCGAGAGTTACCAGAACCTCTTATGACCTTTGAACTCTATGACGAGTGGATTCAGGCTTCCAAGTGAGTACACCACATTTTGGAGTATCTTGTGGGTTGGAGTTTATTTGGAAGTATGTATTGAAATTATGAAAGCATATAACCTGTGATCTGGCAACTCTGTTTCTTGGTATCTAGCAGGCAGAAACATGTGTCATGCTTATACACGTGCCCAAAGAGGCATATACAAAAATGTGGACTGCAGCTTTACTGCTTTTTGCTATTTGCTATTCCAGGCAAAAGCAAATGGGGATGTGGGCGTGGCTAAATAAGCTATGGTATATCTACACTGTGACATACTCTGCAGCACAGCTGCTTCTAGTCCTCTGTGTACATCAGTCTCCTGGGAAGCTTTGAAAAGATATCAATGCCTGGACCTTCTTCCCAGAGATTCTGATTTAATTGGCCTGGACTCCTTGTTTCAAAACTCCCAAGGCTGTTAGGTTGATAGCCATTGACCTTTGGTGAAGTTGAATCTCACTGAAGAGCCACGCTAAGCCTAATGGGATTACCAGTTGGGCAAACACACAGTGCCTGGCTGGCTCCAAATGGAAGGGGCATCCAGGAGCTGTAGGGGGAGCCAGGGGAGCAGCAGAACAACAGCTAGGGATTTCCAGGACAGTGCAAGGCGGCCAGTAACGAAAAGGGCATGAGCAGGCGAGCCACGTCAATTAGTGCTTCCGTGGAGGAGTTGCAGAGTGGAGACTCAGGCTAGCCCAGAGACGCCTGGCAGAGGATGCAGGAAGGACTGAAGCTCCAGTCAGTCATAGGACAGGGTGGACAAGCCTTCACCTTTGCTCTGGCCCCTGAATGTTTGCCCCAGAGCTGCTTCTGGTTATTTTGGCCCCACCTTAAATGTAACCTCATCCCTGACAAGCCGAGGTAAAGTGGCCAGCAGTCTTGATGGGTCCCATCCCTCCTGTTCATTCTGACTGCCTGGCTCACAGCTGTGTCTGGGTCACAATCACACTGGGAGCCTTGAGAGTGCCCTCCTCGTTGACCACGGCTTCCCAACCCTCAGGACAGTGCCGATACACAGGAAGTGCTCAGTGTGTGTTTGCTGGGTTGTATTGAATGCAAGGTCTTTGCAGCATCTGCCCCTCTACCTTAGAAAGGATTGAGGAGCAGGACAGCAGATGGGGCTCTGTGTCACCAGGGACACCCTAGCTGCTGGCAGACATGGGAGTGGAGACAACTGCGGGGGCTGCAAAGGCCGACATTGATCATGAGCAAGTGCTTTGTATGATTCTCCTTTAATTCACTCACATGGATGCTACAGAGCAAGTTCTCTTATTAATCCCCTTTATAATGAGGACAGTGAGGCTCCCAGAGATTAAATCATTGGCCCAGGATCACAGCCAGGATAGAGCTGAGTCTCCTTGGCCTCCAGACAGAAAAGCCTTCTTGGCCAGACTTTGGCCAGATTTGACTACTTGACAAATATGAGCTGTGACCTTTCCATTTCTAGTGGTAGGTTTGGTTTTCCCGTCCATTGCCTAGCAGAAGTTCCCCTGGCGAATACTCCCTACTCCCTCAGGCTGAAGGGAGGGAAGAGGTTTTTCTCACATGGCCGAGATCTGCAGGGGGCCCTCTGGAGCCTGCGTGTGGGTGGTGGCCACTGCCTGCCCAGGCCCCGGGCTGAGGTCAGAGCTGGCGCCTCCCTCAGCGGGGCTTTCCGGGTCGGTTTTCTGGGGCTTTGGCCTTCCTCACATGTCAGCCTTGATGTAGATTTTCATGAAAAAATCTTAAAAACTGTAATCCTATGGGTAATTTTTTAAAAATTCTCAGATGGCTTATCAATAAAGAAACCCTTAAAACAGATCTTTTTGTATAGTGGAGAATCTTTTCTTTATGGGAATTACACATCTCTGAGTCATGTCTTGAAAGATCAGATTTTCATCTATAAAATTTACTGACTCGGAGGGATTGACTGAATGTCCATTAAATAACGGTTGTTGAACTGGACAGCAAGATGCCACCATGGTGTGAGGGCGGGTGAACTACCACTGTGCTCCTGGGGATGGAGACAAGTGAGAACGTGACCTCTGACGGGAACTGTCCCTTTTAGTCACTGAGTGTCTCAGCGATCTTGGTGATATAAAGCTAGACAAGGGGATGATGACCCACTGCTTCAAGATCTCCCTGAGGGACATCCTCCCCCTCATTGGTAAACGTGGGTCTCCAACAGGAAATGGGAAATAATGATCCTGAAGCCTCAGAGCTCAGTGTCCTGGAACCAGGGAAACGCAAGGCCTTTTTTTGGCCCCTGAAGGGTGTGTGTGCCCTGCCTGGTGCCACGTATCCTGGTTCTGTGCCAGAATCACCCTCCTGATGACACCATGGCCCTGCTCACTCCAGAGCACAGATCGCCCATCCGCTCCCAACTACGACCTTGGGATATGTGACATGGGCAGAGGAAGTTTTATTAAAATAGCAGAGGATAATAGCAGGGGAAGGTAAGAGTAATCAAACATTTGAATAATAATAGCTTGTTGGCATGGTCAGTCACGTGGTTATCTCCTTATTCTCAAACATTACAGTGATGGTTAATATGACTGCTGGTGAGGCTTCATTGAGTCATCCTCAACCAGTGGCTTTTCCTGTTCATTCCCCAGCATCCAGGAGCAAGACAAGAGGCTTCAGGCTCTGTGGAATGCTTGTGAAAAATTGCCCAAGGCCAATCACAACAACATCCGGTAAGGGGACACTGGAGGCACGTGGGTCTGTTCTTCAAGCCCCAGAGACACATTTTCCTGGATAAAGGTCATGGTCACTAGCATGCACTGAATTTTATGGTGTCCAAAGCATTATTAACATGCATGGTCTCTTTGCAACCTCAGACCCTGTGAAATTGTTAATTACCATTTTACAGATGAGGAAACATAGTAGATGACTGGACTTTGCCTAGCTAGACATTGGCTAATTCAGTTAAGGTCTTTGATTTGCAAAAAGCAAAGGATAGTTCAAGTTTTTTCAAGACATTGGGGATTTATTGCAAAGATAGTTATTCGTGGACACCTGGAAAAGCTAACCAAACCTGGAGCTGGAGTTGGTTTGTGTGTCCTTGAGCGGGTCCACCGGGAGAATATTCTCTGGTGCTCCACCGTTCACCAGCTATTTTAAACACGTCTGTCTCTCACTTTTCTTGCCACCACACGAGATTTTCCTGCCTGCTCCTGTGCAGATCTCTCCTCTCCCTGGCATCTGCCCCTTCACACCCTCTGCTTCCTCACCACCGTGCCTCGCCGGCGCTGCTCCTGGCCCCACACCTCTTCTCACTGTTTCTTAAGATACAGATTTTCAGCTTCAGCTGCTGCTGCCATCTGCCTGATTCTTTCTGTTTTCCTGTAAAAAATCCCAAGTGGGGTGGTAAGGCAGATCCTCAAAAAATTAAACATAGAATTACCACTTGACCCAGCAATTCCACATCTGGCTCTGTAGCCACAATATTAGAAAGCAAAGGCTTGATATTTGTACACCCACGTTTGTAGCAGCATTATCCACAGTAGCCAAGAGGAGCAAACAACCCAAGTGTCCCTCAGTGGATAAGTGGATCAACAAAATGCACATGCAATGCAATATTCAGCCTGAAAAGGGAAGGAAATGATGACACATGCTACAGTGTGGATGTACCTTAGGACATTATGCTGAGTGATAAAAGCCAGTCACTCCCGTGAGGCACCTAGAATAGTCTTCCGCCTAGAGACAGAAAGTAGAACGGTGGTTTCCAGGGGCTGGTGGGGGTGGAGTTGGAGATAGGAGGGTATCAATGAATGGGTAGAATTTTAGTTGAAATGTTCTGGAGATGGATAGCGGTGATAGTTGCTTAAAAGTGTGAAAGTAGTTAATGATACTGATCTGTATATTTAAAAATGGTTAAAATGGTGATGTGTACATATTTACCACAATTTTTTAAAACTCTCAAGAGCAAGAATCAGACCGATATAACACACATCGAGTATTGCTGACTATTATAGCCCAGGACACTGGGCAGCTGCAGCTCAACTGTCCTCAGCTGAGGTACCACATTCTGGCCCAGGTGCATGTTGCCTCTTGGAGAGGGAGACGTGGTCAGGAGAGGCTGTGGGTGGAGTTAGCACAGACCCAGCTTGGGGACTCCGTGGTCAGACCCTAAGCCTGTGGACTTCCTGCTGGCTTACGGAAGGTGATCGCTGCCCTGTGTAGCTGAGAGTCCAGGAGAAAGCGTGTGCCCTGAAGGTGCTTGTCAGAGCCTGGCAGGTTTTTGGTGTGATTTGCCAGAGCTATTTTTGTGCTTGTTTTGTGAATAGCTTCTGCACTAGTTCTTTTTAATTCATTTTAATAATAGCTTTATTGAAATATAATGCACATACCATTGTACCCTTTTAAAGTATACGATTTTGTGTGGAGGTTTTGTATAATTGTAGAGTTATATGACCATCAGCACTAATTTTAAAAGATTTTCACTGCTTCAGAAAGAAACCCTTTCCCCATGAACAGTCACTCTTCATTCAGCCCAGCCCCTGGCAGCCACTCATGCACGTCCTGTCTCTGTCGCCATAGATTCCCTGTGCTAGATATTTCATGGGAATGCAGTCATACAACACGTGGTCTTCTGCTTCTCAGCATGATGCTTCAAGGCTCACCCATGTGGTAGCTTGTGTCAGAGCTTCATTCCTCCTCATGTCTGAATAATATTCCATTGTGTGGATGGGCCACATTTTATTTATGCGTCCATCCCCGATGGACATCTGAGTGGTCTTCACTTTTTGACTATCACGAGTAATGCTGCAAGTTTGTGGGGACCTACTTTTCTTGGGTGTATCCCTAGGAGTGGAATTGCAGGGTCATATGCTAAGTCATTAGTTTTTCCTTCCTTGGATCTCTCCAGAAAGCCCCACTGAGGGGGGCTCTGAAGGGATAAGGAGATACCCCTCCTAGCAGGTAAACCTCCTGCCCAATGACACCTAGATGTTTTGCTTCTCATTTCTGCACACAGGGAAGATGGGAGGTGACAGAGGTTTGAAATAAAGAAGGAACTTTAGGTCATTTTGCACTAAGTCCAAAAGAAGGATGGAGAATTTTTCTGGCCAGATGTTAACATTGAACAGAGTGAGATCTGACTTTGTCTGTTTTTGGAGCATTTCTGTGTCCTGACACATGATACGTTTTCATCACATTGCAAAATGTGTGAGTCTCATTGTCAGTAAGATATGCTACAAGAGAGAAGTTTCTACCCAGGCTTGGGGAACATGGCTGCTGTTGCATGCTCAGTTAAAACAGGCCCTTCTAACTTCCTTTCAGATACTTGATCAAATTTTTATCGAAGTTGTCAGAATATCAAGATGTAAACAAGATGACTCCCAGTAACATGGCAATTGTGTTAGGACCCAACCTCCTATGGCCACAAGCAGAGGGGTGAGTACAGAGAGGCACAAGCACATGGGTACCATGGGTCAGGGAAGGGATGGCCAGGGCCCAGAGAGCCACCACACTCATTTCCTTCTCCAGTCTTATATCTTTTGTGGCTTGCTCCCTTCTTAGGCTCAGGAGGAGGCCCAGAATTCTGCAGATCTTTCCCCTGATGATCTTAGAGCTTCAGGTCTGCTGGGAGGGTCTTCTCTGAGCTAATCTAAGGCAGTGCCAGGATGGGAGGGTGGGGGCACGGTGGACTAGGCAGGGTGAGCTCTTTCAGGCTGTCCTCACACTCCATGAAGAGCACACATTCCAGTGTCAGGATCCAGAGGGGCAGAGGGCTGTCTCGAAAGAAAGAACAGTCAGAAAGAGGATGAGACTGGCCGTGAGGAGAATCATGCCTCCCGTAGAAATGTGCCTTGTGCCTGCCGATTTGTGTAACTTCCTCATTTCCTGACTCATATCCTTGCATGTCTCCTGTAAGGAGGACTTCTGTGGTTGCCTTCATTCTGTAGATGGGGACAAGGAGTTCAGGAAGGTGAACCTCTTCTTCCCAAGAGAAAGCCTGCTCTCAGAACTAGGTCTGCAGGCTCCCAGGCCAGGGCGCCTTCCCGCACTGTGGTGCCGGTGCCTCGACCTTGACTCAATGCTGCACTCCTCTGCTCTGGGCCTGCAGGAACATCACAGAGATGATGACCACCGTTTCCCTGCAGATTGTTGGGATCATCGAGCCCATCATCCAGCACGCAGACTGGTTCTTCCCTGGGGGTACGTGGTGGCATCTATTGGGGTGAGGGTGGCTGGGAAGGCATCGCTGTGAGTTCTGCACCTCTGAAACATAGTCCCACTGCCAAAAGGTGTTTGTCTTGTTTTTTTGTTTGTTTTTTAGAAATAACATTTTATTTTTTAAAACATTTTTATTTATTTATTTTAGAGAGAGGGAAAGAGGGAGAGAAACATGGATATAAGAGAGAAACATCAGTTGGCTTCCTTCCTAACACGCCCCGGCTGGGGAGCAAACCCACAACCCAAGCTTGTTCCTTGGCTGGGAATTGAACTGGCAACCTTTTCGGTTTTCAGGACAACACCCAACCAATTGAGTGACACCGGCCAGGGCATCCTGTTTGTTTTTAATCCATCTACACACACGCGCGCGCACACACACACACACACACACACACACACACATACGCATACGCATTCACGCACTCAGGTATGAGCAGGGTCATGGCAGTTTCCTTCTCTCTGACCTGAGGACATCCACAGCCTACACTAGCTGGCCACATCCATGGATGTGATGAGTCTAACAGCCACACCATAGTTTCTTTAAATCCATGCACCTTGAAATGCTGGCACAGAAAGGAAAGAGACATCCTCTGCTTCCTAGCTGCAGAGGGAGGCTAAATCAGTGATGAAGGGAACTTCTGTCCAGAGCTGTGGATCACCTGGGCACCATCCTTTGTCATTCTCACCTGTGTCCTCTGAGCTTCTCTCAGCATGTAAAGGTGGAGCTCACAGGTGATGAGAACTTTTTTTGTACTTGGTTTGAAATTAGACTTTAGAGGCAGCTACCTCAGATGGACGTTCATAAATGTTCTCTTAGCCATGGGAACACCATTGCACAAGCATATGACTCAGTGGTACCGGTTTTGAAGAGACAGCAGTTGTTACACCAAATTCTGTGTTCCCTTCTAAAAAAGGGGTATCCTACTTTATGTTTAGTAAACATTAAGGGCATTTAATGTTAATGTTTCTGTGCTCTGCCTATCAAAAGTAATCAATAGTGCTGCTCTAATACATTAAGATTGATTGCCTTTATTTCATGCCATGTGTTTTGACTGTGAAAGCTCCTAACTTCTGCTCTCATGAGAGTTCTAATAAAAGACACAAGGTCGGGTGAGGGTAAGAAATCAGGATAAAGAAATGAAGGAGAAAGGAGTTGAAGGTACAGTTAATTTTGCACATTCTGTGGACAAGCTAGTTCATTGCCATTGCAGATGAACAGATTATTAGTAGGAAAGGAAGGGATGAGTATTTCCACAGATCCATCCAATAGCCAGTAGCCTTTGTGGCCTGAGTGAAGTCTCCAGGTCTAACCCTTTTCAGTTGTCCAGGAAGACATTATTATTTATAAGTAATAACACTGCCTCTTGTTTTCTTGTCTTGACCAATTCCATTGGCTGGCCCTTCTCCAACAGCATTAGCAGTGTCGAAAGTGGGCATTGCTCTTTCACCTGATCTGATTAAGACACTCTGGTGTTTCCCTCTTAACCATGAGGTTAGAGCTGGCTGATTTTGTCTTTTTTCAGAAAATACACCCCTGTATCCATTTAATTAAGTTTGTTTTTTAATCACAAATGGAAATTGCTTTATTACATGTCCATCATATTAATATGATAGTTGGGCTATTCTATTACTATTGTGATAAGTTATATTAAGATGAATTATCAGCAGATGACCAAACATTGGACCAAAGAACACAATTTTCTGGGTGTGGAGTACAAAGGAGAGGCCAGCTCGCTCGTCTCTGTCCTGCCCAGGAAGGCTGTGACAGCCCAACAGAGCATGTACCCTGTTCTTTCTTCCCCACAGAGATAGAGTTCAACATCACAGGGAACTACGGGAGTCCAGTGCACGTGAACCACAACGCCAACTACAGCTCAATGCCCTCCCCAGATATGGACCCCGCTGACCGGCGCCAGCCCGAGCAGGTCCGCCGGCCCCTCAGCGTTGCAACAGACAACATGATGCTGGAGTTTTACAAAAAGGATGGGTATGAGCTGGCATCCCTTTCTCAGCATTGGGGATTGGATAAGGGGAGGGCTGAGGTGTAACAAAACACAAGATGGCCAGGAAGGCTGCCCTGAGCAGCAGCAGTTAGGGCACTTGCAGCAGTTAATCTGTTCCCTAGTCTTGTGCTCTCATCTGTGCCCCTGGGGGCAGTCTCTCGGCTTGCGTCCCTGGAGGTGGAGCCTTTTGAGCTGACCACTGTCATCGGGGGCTGATTAGTTCTCCTGACAAGAAAAAAAATTGGTCCACAGGGGGATTAATATATATAAATATAATATATACATGTATATATATAAACACTTTATTTTGACTCAAAATTTATGAATGCCAATTCTCAAATCTTTAATGGTTTTATTTTTGTGATAGACCTGTTCATTTGCATTTTTTGGCAACATTAAACAGCACCTGTCATGTATAGTTTAAAACAGAAAACCTAAAGCTTAAAGCCATCTGAGTGTAAACTCCTTATAATTTGTAAGATTTTGTTTCCTCGTCTTTTGTGATTAACACCTGCACCTGCTCTGATGCAGCTGTCACAAGACTCCTGAAAGCACTCAACTGAACTCACATGGGAACAACTCTCCCACTCCTGTTAAATCAATTTACAGATTTTGTAATTGTTTACTATGATCCCATAGTAAGTAAAATGAGCATAAACAGGTTTTATAACAAGCACAGCCAATTCATGGTAAACATAAGCTATGGTATCTGAACTAAGTGGACTTTTGATGGACAGCAAGCTGAAGGTGTCAGCCAGCGTGTCTTCCAGAAGAAATGCATGCATTGCTTGATCAGGCAAGTCAGTTGAGTAAATTTTGGTTAGGAATTAAAAATGACCACTGTGACATAAAATTTAGCAACTGCTGCTTTAAAATAGACAGGAGCATAAAGCACCTAATGAGAATATCAGAAATTTCTTCAGCAGAAAGTATAGCAGCGGCAACCTTCAGCTTCCCATTCATACCACTAGGTGACCGGAAAGCTATTTGTTTGACATGCGTATGGCCTAAAGGATTCAGAGGGAAGGTCAAACACTCAGGACTCTTCCTTTTCTGAATGCAAGTTGGCACTGGGGACCTACACTGCATCCTGTGACGAGGGAGGAAGGTTCAGCAAGGGCAGTGTCCCTGCTTGTTACTGGACCACCAGACACTTGACCTATGAGGCCAGTGAGGGTTGTTTATCTGCTCTGTGTTGTTGTTTGTTGTTCTTTTAGCTAGTGGGGAAAGAAAGTCTGGAAATTCTTTGAAACTGAAGAGAGCAGAGGGAAAATTTTTTAAATCTATAAAAAGAAGAGTACACTTAGGGTCTGATTTTTGCATCATGAGGAGCAAGTCAGAGACACAGATGGTGACAGAGCGAGAGAGAGACAGAAAGTGCTAGCAAGTGCACTGGAATGGTTTGTAAAACTCAGTTAAAGCGACTCCATTCTGTGAGGTGTCTCTAGCAGAAGGACACCCTGGGAGTCAGCTTCAGTCCTGGCTGGGCGACAGAGCACTCAGCGGGTCCCATTGTTTCTGCATCAGAGGTGTGCTCATGTGTCCTCCCCAGACCTCATCTGACCTCAGCACCCTCCAAAAGCAATCTAGATGACCTCTGAGGGAGCTGCACTGCAGACTCGTGGGGCACTTAGAGTCTGCCGGCCCCAGAGCAAGCAGGCAGCTGGAGAAGCACAAATGGTGGTATTTTAGGCAGGTGCCTCTTCTCTGAGAAAGGTCTCTCGCTCAGGGACTATGTAAATAATATAGCACAATGTTCTGCACGATGTTCTGATTGAAAGCTGAAGGTGCCACCATACACTTTAAGGGTGTAGAAGATGAACTACATTAAATACCGTTGTGCACAAAATGAATATATTTTATGTATTTTAAAACTTGTCCTAACTTTTAATTACTTGGAGAGCATACTGGCAGCTTAGGATAAGCCTCACTGAGTTGTCTGGGGTACAGTACATATGTTTTAGGGTACAGTGAGCTTGCAGATGATCAGTTCCTAACTAGCTTTAAGGGAAATACAAACCTAAAGTTTTGGGTAGGTGTTTTGGGCAAGAGAAAAGGAATTTGTATCAGTTGAGTCCCTGTATTAGCAATATTAGGGGAATTCTCCACATTGGTCCCAATTTTTGAGTTTTTAAAATCTTTGAGACACATTTCAAAGTTTTCAAACTATCTCTAACCACTTGAAACACTCGACAAAGTTAACTTTATTGAGGTTTTTGATCAGGTTTAAAAAAGAATATATTTAATTATATTTCAATAAAGCTGTTACTTTAAAAAAAATTGGCCCTGGCTGGTGTGGCTTAGTGGATTGAGTGCTGGCCTGCAAACCCAAAAGTCACTGGTTCGATTCCCAGTCAGGGTACATGCCTGGGTGGCAGGCCAGATCGATGTATCTCTCATCGATATTTCTCTATCTTTCTCTCTTTCTTCCTCCCATCCCCTCTCTCTAATAGTAGGTAAATAAAATCCTAGGGGGAAAAAAGACAATTTGGGGAACAAAAATGGATGACATTTTCCTGGATTGATGGCTGTTATGTCCAAGACATCACTGAAGGTAGTTTCTCCCCAATCCCAGCTCCCGGCCTTTCTGATTCATAATGACACAGGAAACTGAATTTCTATAGCAAGTCCTGGGATCAGGTTTATTAGCTCACTTATACATTTTTCATGATTGCAGTAGGCAGAATAATGCCCCTCCAAAGATATCAGTTCTTAAACCCTGGAACCTGTAAATATTGCCTTATTTGGGAAAATGGTCTTTGCAGATGTGGTTAAAATAAAAATCTTGAAATACAGCGATAACGCGGGATTGTTAGGGTGGACCCTGAATGCAATCACACCAGTCATAAGAGGGCAGCAGAGATCTCTCACACACATGCGCGCGCACACAGAGAAGAAGATGTGCACATGGAATAGAGATTTGACAGTGTGGCCGCAAGCTAAGCAATGCTGACGGCCTCCAAAGCTGGAAGGGGCAAGGGAAGGATTCTCTCCCCTGAAGCCTCTGGAGGGAACACAGCCCTGCTGACACCTTGACTTTGGCCCTGTGATACTGATTTTGGACTTGGAACTCCAGAACTGGGGGAGAATATATTTCTGTGGTTTACTAACTTTGTGGTACTTGTGACAGCAGCCACGAAAAACCAGTCCATGTGTCTCCACAGCTACACACCAACAAACAGCTCCATGGTAAAGATGGCAGCAGGGATTTGATTCTTCTCCCATTGAGTTGACATCTGATTATACTCCCTTTTACTCTGATTTGGCCTCCGTGACTCACTTAGCTAACAGGACATAGCAGAAGAGATGTTCTGTGCCTTCTGAAGCCAGGTCAGAATGAACCTTATAGCTTATGCCAGGTCTCTTGGAACACTCACTCTCGGAACCTAGCTATGTTGCTGTGTGGGAGTCCAAGCAGCCCCTTGGAGAGGAACTGAAACCCCTAGCCTTCATCCCCAGCCAAGCACCGAGCTGACAGCTAGCACCAACTTACAGGCTTCGAGAGTGAGTCATCTTAGTCTTCTAGGCCAACTCAGGCAACCTCAGCTAGTCCTGTGTAGCGCAGACAAGCTGTCCCTGTCTGACTCCGCCAAAACTGTGGAGTTGTGACCTAGATAAGTAAGCAACCAGGTTTTGAGAGTTGTTTGTTAGGCAACAAAAGGTAGCCAGAACAAACGTTTAAAAAAGAATACTGATGTCCTACTTCCCCCACCCCCCATTCCTCCAATCTGACTTGACTGGCCTGGGCTAAGATTCAGGCAGTGATACTTGTTAAAGCATCCCAGATGATGCTAATGCACATCCAGGGGTGAAGACCACTGAATCAAAGAAAACCGTTGCCATTCTAGAACTTGGCAATAATACCATTTTTAAAAACATTTCCAAACTTTCCTACTGTAGCCATTGAGTGACACAGTATTAACAGGTCACGCCAGTGCTCTCTGCACTTCCCTCAGTTCCCACTGAAATCGTAGGGTGCAGTTTATCATGTATTTTCAATGCCTTGTTTGTATTTTCTTTTTGGTTAGTTTTATAGAATAGTGATAGTTGTTTCTTGGATCATTTGTCCCAAATAATAAACGAAAGTAAACTTGCAAATTCCTTCTATTTTTCTGACAATGGCAGAAGTGTTGTCCATGGTTACATCAGATATTTTTTATGCAAGACCTACTGGCCCTGAAAGAGTTAGCCAGGATGTCTGCTCTTGCCCATGGATCAGGATGGACTCGTGGGCCCTGAGTGTTTGTCGGGTGCATTCTCGGGCCGTGCCCCTAGCAGCATCTGAACAAACTTGACAGGGATTCTTGAAGGACCTGTGGAGACGCCCAAATGCAAGAATAGGAAAGACGTCAGTGATAAAGTGTCCTTGCTAACATTACATCTCTACCCTCCCGGTGGCTATCATCCCCCCTTCCTACTCCTCTTGCCCCCACTCCCGGCCCACATCCAGCCTCAGATTTCAGGCAGACCTTGCCAGTACCGCCACTGCCCCCTCCCCACCTCACCTGCCTGTGTTTATTCCTGCCTGTTGGCCACTTCCTGGCTCTGGCCTATATTCTTTACACCTGCCTTGCTGGCTGACACACCTGTCCCCCTGCCCGTGCTCATTTCTAGTCTCTTGTTCCCCTAACCCCACTGGTGACAAGTCCCAGCAGCATCTGTGAAGCTGCCCACAGACCCTTGAATCCCCATGGGATGGCAGTCTGTTCACAGAAATCCGATGAGTCTGGCTCTTTCTGTGTAGAAGACCAGCATGCAGCTCCTCTTTCCGGTCTCGGAACCTGTGTGCCTGCACCCCTTCCCTGGCTCCAAAGCGGGCTGGTCCTCAGAGACCCTCTACCTGGGCCCACTGGCAGCAGCCCAGAAAAGCTATGAGGACAGTGGAGCAGAGCCAGCCATCTGCCCGAGAGCTCAGCTGGGCATGTGACCCCCTCCTCGGCCTGTGCTGCTCTGGGACAGGTCTGGCCCCACCATTTAGATCTTA